GGTGGTGGTTGTGAGGTAGCATGAGGGTAGTGGTGGTGGTTGTGAGGTAGCATGAGGGTAGTAGTGGTGGTAGTGAGGTAGAATGAGGGTAGTGGTGGTGGTTGTGAGGTAGCATGAGGGTAGTGGTGGTGGTAGTGAGGTAGCATGAGGGTAGTAGTGGTGGTAGTGAGGTTGAATGAGGGTAGTGGTGGTGGTTGTGAGGTAGAATGAGGGTAGTAGTGGTGGTTGTGAGGTAGCATGAGGGTAGTGGTGGTGGTTGTGAGGACCTGGAGGGTGGTGGTGGTAGTGAGGAGGACCTAGAGGGTAGTGGTGGTGGTAGTGAGGTAGAATGAGGGTAGTGGTGGTGGTAGTGAGGTAGCATGAGGGTAGTGGTGGTGGTAGTTAGGTAGCATGAGGGTAGTGGTGGTGGTAGTGAGGTAGCATGAAGGTAGTAGTGGTGGTGGTGGTGAGGACGACCTACCGTGTAGTGGTGGTGGTGGGGGTAGAGGGGGCGGCGCCCCCGCCAGATCCACTCCTGACCCCTCCAGTCGAGGCAATGACGACTCGTCATCATCCTCCATATCCAGCTGCAAATTGAGTCATCATCACCATCATTATCATCAAAATATATATTCAGAGGTTGACAAGCAACTATGAGAGTATAAAGTTGCGCTAATGCTCCTTAAAGCAGTTATACCAGCGGGTAGTTAAGAATGTGACACTGAACTCGACTCTTTCAATGCCACAGTTTCTCCTGTAGGAAATCAGATCATAAGCAATACCCGTAAAATTAACTTTCAGTTGCAAATATCAAATGTTGCAGGAATACAAGGAAAATGCCAAGCTGATGAGTAGTGATGCTCAGGTTTATAGAGGAATGAGAGGAAGTGTTGATGCTGCTGCGCCATCAGGTGCTCATCAACATCAATAGTTGATGACGAGACAAGTGAATTTAATGGAAGCAAACTCAAGGAGATGAACAGGAGGACAAGAAAATCAAAGAGCGAAAGAGAAACTTGGAAATAAACTAAAAACGTTCAGAAAAGTAAGAATTAATTTGACAATAATTCAGAATGCACAAGAAGGAGACGGAACGAATAAGCAACAGAAATATTAGGGGACAAACGAAAGACAACTTCAAGCATTAGAAGACATTAGGAAGACATTAGAAATATCAGGAGGAGGCGTCTGAGAAGGTCGATGGGAACTACTGGTGAAAGAAGCGCCAGGGTGAATATCATAAGGTTTTGTTGAAGCTGAAACACATGAGAACTTCAGGTACTGATGAAGTACATGGAGAGAATATTTAATGCAGTATAGATAGTAGCAGATTGGAATTAGTGTGATGTTACAATCCACATGGGCAAGTGATTGTACATATCTAAAAATAAGAGTTAGAAAAGCTTGAGAGTTTCTCAAGTGTAGGGAGAAGAGGCTCTCAAGTGTAGGGAGACGAGTGTAAGACAGAAATGGGTGTGTAAGACAAAGCAACAGCCTGGTGGACCAAACTCTCACAAGTCAAGCCTGGCCTCGGGCCGGGCTTGGGGAGTAGAAGAACTCCCAGAACCCCATCAAGCAGCTATGAACCAGGTTGAAAGTACAGAAACTATCATAAAAATTAGTCATCGAGGAGGACGTTGTTCAGGTCACATGTTCTGGGACAACCTCGTGAACACGGCCACCCATGGGACAGTTTGCTATGGAATACCTGGTTGATGGGGTTCTGGGAGTTCTTCTACTCCCCAAGCCCGGCCCGAGGCCAGGCTTGACTTGTGAGAGTTTGGTTCACCAGGCTGTTGCTTGGAGAATCCGGCAATTATGACAGAGAAAGCAATTGACAAAACGATTCATGAGAACCAGATGAGGAGAGAGAGACAGAGACACAGACAGAGAGAGAGACAGACAGTAACACCAACACGCGGTAACAGCTGTAGCAGGTAGCAGTAGTAGTAGTAGTAGGCGAAACTCTTTGTTAGTTCAAAATAAATAGCATTAACAGTATTAAACATACCAGCAGTTGGGCCACAAGTGGCACAGCAGCACTAACCCAAGTCAGCATTAACATACTACTAGTAACAGCAGCATAAACAGTAGTAGATTTACCAACAGTTGTAGAGACAATAGTAGTAGAACAGTAGTAGATTTACCAACAGTTGTAGAGACAATAGTAGTAGATTTAACACGGGGCAGTAGAGGCAGTGTCAGCGTAAATATATCAACAGTGGTGTTAGTGGTACTTACAAACACAGACTGTTAGTAGAAGAAAGTAGACATTACACAGAGGGAGGTGGACTTACCGGGAAGTAGTCATCCATGACACTGACATCGCTCCTACCATCACCAGACCCAGAGCCAATATACTGAAAAAAGCAGAGGCAAGCAATCAACACTTAACGACACTGACATGACGGCACCCATGCTGCAGGGAGGGAAGCAGGGAGGGAGGCAGGGAGAGAGGCAGGGAGGGAGGGAGGGAGGCACGGAGGGAGGGAGAAAGGGAGGGAGACACGGAGGGAGGCAGGGAGGCACGGAGGGAAGAACGGAGGGATGGATTGGAAAGAGGGAATGAGGGAGGGAAAGAAGCCCCGACATAGGAGAGGATAATGCATATAGTCCAGTGTTGTGTGTGTGTGTGTGTGTGTGTGTGTGTGTGGTGTGTGTGTGTGTGTGTGTGGTGTGTGTGTGTGTGTGTGTGTGTGTGTGTGTGTGTGTGTGTGTGTGTGTGTGTGTGTGTGTGTGTGTGTGTGTGTGTGTGTGTGTGTGTGTGTGTGTGTGTGTGTGTGTGTGTGTGTGTGTGTGGTGTGTGTGTGTGTGTGTGTGTGTGTGTGTGTGTGTGTGTGTGTGTGTGTGTGTGTGTGTGTGTGTGTGTGTGTGTGTGTGTGTGTGTGTGTGTGTGTGTGTGTGTGTGTGTGTGTGTGTGTGTGTTTGTGTGTGTGTGTTTGTATGAACAGACGCCCTCTGTCACAATACACAAAGCATCTATCCAACAGAACTAGAACGCAGAGACATAAAAGCAACTATGCAGTTAAACAATGCCTGTCATAGATATAAGCTTTACTAAACTAATAATAACACTAATGATAACACCAACAACAATAATAACCAGAAATAAAACCAAAATAACACAGTTAACACGCTAGAAAATATACAACATAGAAAACGGAGCAGTCTATCACAGAAAACCATATATAGGCAGTAACATAAGAATTCTTAAAACGTATTATCACTAGAAAGCACAGTTGATGCATACGCTATTACGCAGGCACAGAGGCAGCTAGCATAGGCCTATACTCAACTGGGTGGGGGATGGAGTCAGCTTAGGTCTATGTTGCCGTGGAGAGAGGGAGCCAGCATACAATATATCATAAAGATGGAGTCAGAAGAGGATAGGATAGCAGAAGATAGCCAGCTATAGGCTGATGTGACAGCACAGAGGATGCCGCATATGATCCATTATAGACATTGAGTCAGCATAGGCCTACGTCAATGTGTAGAGGAGGCAGTTTCAAGACATTAACAACCAGCACAGGGCAATTAACTCCAGTGTATACACGTAAAATTGCAAATAGGTGGGGGGAACCTTTGCCCAGCCGCCGGCTTCCTGTCCTCGTCAAGGTTACTAGTATTAGTGGCCCCTCAGGTAAATTCAGGTAAAGGTCGTTACTCACCGCTGTTACATTTGTTACATGGCCACATAATGCGCAGCAGAAGCCGCAGCACAAGCCGCAGCACAAGCCGCAGCACAAGCCGCAGCACAAGCCGCAGCACAAGCCGCAGCACAAGCCGCAGCACAAGCCGCAGCAGGGTTGCCAGGTGTGCGAAGTGACGTCACTTCGTTAACCTATCCTTCCTATCAGTCCGTCGCATTTTGACGTACAACTTTACTTAAGGCCTCCCTCAAAAAAAAAATCTTGTACTAGAAAATGTGATACTTGTCCTTACTACGGCTCGCGGACTTGACATACTGTCCCGTTTTCTGACGGGCTGGATACGACCTGTCCTCCTACAAAGAACGTCGCATTTCGCTCGTGTGCGTTACCTAAGGCCAACAATTGTCGTACTGGAAAATGGAAGCGGCTGGCGAAAGTGACGTACTGTCCCGTTTCGTGTTTTGCGTACTCTGGCAGGTTAGGATAAGGGCAGTGTATAAGAGTCAGTTTATAAGAGTCAGGGGGCGTCGAGCCCAGCTCTGCAATACGACAATGTTACGTATACGGAGAGAAATAGCGTGGTATCCCCTTTAATTGCTATTTTCCTGACTCCCCCCCCCCCTCTCTCTCCTGCAGCAGCTAACACATCCACCACAGCATCACCACCCACAGCATCATCTCCCACAACATCACCTCCTACAGCATCACCACTCCTCCCATAGCCAATAGCATTACCCATCCTACCCCACTAAACAGCCCACTTTCTCTCCTCCCCCCCTCCCAGTCACTCTTATTTTCCCTCGCTGGCTCATGGCTTAAATTAGGATTTTATCTTACCCACTTTAAGCTCCCCCTCCCCCCCTCTCCCGGAGGTAATGGCATTACAGTGATTACCTGAGGAACTAACTATTGGTCCCCCCTCCAACCACTTCCCCCTGGTACCCACGTCCCCCCAGGGCACGTGGGTGCCCGGCTATACCCGTCCAAGTGGTCACTTCTTGTTGACTGTCAATTGTTGCCTGTCTTGAACGGTGTGATCAGAATACATTCCATTCACTGTATAGAATCAACTTCCTCCGTGCTCACTCGCGCGCTTGGAATCATAACGGATAGTTCCCCCCCCCCCCTTGGTCTGCGATACTGACGGGGGGGGGACACCGTCCCCTTGACCCCCCTCCCCCCCCCCCCCCCCGTAGCACCGAGGAGGTCACCCATCCGTGTGACCTCATCACACGGCAGCCGAGATACACTCCAATCACAGCCTAGTTTTTTAACACCGAGGTATTGGTTGTCTCGAACCTTAGCCGCTCGAGACAACGCTAAGAGAATAAAGCACAGTTTAAGCTGTCAGCAAAGAAGCCACTAAGGAGCGATGCGTGCAAATAATATTAACAACTAGCTGTACCCGGCCACGCGTTCCTGTGGCTCAGTAACGCATGCACGTTGTTGAGCCACAGCAACCCTCCCCTGTCCCCCCGTCCTCTCCACCATCCCCCTCTCCCCCGTCCCCTCGTCTTCCCCACCATTCCCCCCTCCTCCATCCCCTAATCCTCCCCACCATCCCCCAACTCCCCTGTCCTCTTGTCCTCCCCACCATACTCCACTCCCCTGTCCTCTTGTCCTCCCCACCATACTCCACTCCCCTGTCCTCTTGTCCTCCCCACCATACTCCACTCCCCTGTCCTCTTGTCCTCCCCACCATACTCCACTCCCCTGTCCTCTTGTCCTCCCCACCATTCCTCACTCCCTCGTCCGATGCATTCCCAAATGATCCAATGTTCCCATCAGAATCGTAACATATTTAGTATAGCATGTGTTGCTTTTATGTCCAGTAGATGGCTTCGTTTTTCAAAAAAAATCATAATTTTACCTGTCACAGGTGTGGCATCTATATAGTAAGTATATAAAAACACGCGCGTATTTGAATGGAACGTTGTATCAAAATTTCCAAGCAATCTGTGATGAACTTTCGGAGATTAGCGATTTTGAACTAACGAACAATTACATTATTATTTATATGGATTAAATAAATGCTATTGCTAAAATAGTAACAGCGACTAGGCACACAATAATACAGTTTGTTTATCAACAAACAATTGTATACCTATGATGCCAGTGTGACCTAGGAAGGTGGTACTGGGCTCCTATGATGCCAGTGTGACCTAGGAAGGTGGCACTGGGCTCCTATGATGCCAGTGTGACCTAGGAAGGTGGCACTGGGCTCCTATGATGCCAGTGTGACCTAGGAAGGTGGCACTGGGCTCCTATGATGCCAGTGTGACCTAGGAAGGTGGCACTGGGCTCCTATGATGCCAGTGTGACCTAGGAAGGTGGCACTGGGCTCCTATAATGCCAGTGTGACCTAGGAAGGTGGCACTGGGCTCCTATGATGCCAGTGTGACCTAGGAAGGTGGCACTGGGCTCCTATGATGCCAGTGTGACCTAGGAAGGTGGCACTGGGCTCCTATGATGCCAGTGTGACCTAGGAAGGTGGCACTGGGCTCCTATAATGCCAGTGTGACCTAGGAAGGTGGCACTGGGCTCCTATGATGCCAGTGTGACCTTGGAAGGTGGCACTGGGCTCCTATGATGCCAGTGTGACCTAGGAAGGTGGCACTGGGCTCCTATGATGCCAGTGTGACCTAGGAAGGTGGCACTGGGCTCCTATAATGCCAGTGTGACCTTGGAAGGTGGCACTGGGCTCCTATAATGCCAGTGTGACCTAGGAAGGTGGCACTGGGCTCCTATAATGCCAGTGTGACCTAGGGAGGTGGCACTGGGCTCGGGGACTCGAGGCAGACACACACGTGCTCTGGCACAACTGTTTATTGCAAGCAGGTGTTGGGTTTGGTCTGGTCTCTACGGCTCCTTGTTTGGTAGCCAGCCATATTGAGGCACTGAGACGGTGGGGAGAGAGAGAGAGAGAGAGAGAGAGAGAGAGAGAGAGAGAGAGAGAGAGAGAGAGAGAGAGAGAGAGAGAGAGAGAGAGAGAGAGAGAGAGAGACATAGATAATAACTTAAGGATAAATAGTCCTACACACAAATATTGGTCAATAATAGGCAGTTTATATTTAAAACAACCCCTCCCCCCCCCCTCATAACACCCCACCCCACCCCCACTACTCCTCCCCCCTTCACCCCCTCCTCTCGTCACAAGACAGTCGTCGTCGGGTGCTGGGGGGCCCCCATGTCCCATGCGTCGTGGGGTCCTTGTTCCATGCGTCGTGGGGGCCCTGTCCCATGCGTCGCTGCTCGAGCCCCTTATCTCCGGAGACGTCACAACGTCCACACCGCAGTTCACCGACGGATTTGATAAACTTAGATATAACCTTGAGGAAATCAGTAGAGGCGATGAGGAGGATACGAACCCGCTCGCTTGGTTATTCTCGCAAGCTACCGCATCAGACCATCAAGCCACGGACCTGAAGTCAATGGCAATGCCACCTGGGATTCCACTGAATCCTCCAGGATTCCTGAGGCTTACAACTGAAGCCCAATCAGGGGGTTTCAAGCATTGTCAGGAAAGCAAGGTTTCAAGCGCTACCATTAACCAATGCCCTCTTGGTTAATGGTCCAGTAGTTCACCTCCGACACTTCTCGTCAAATACACAATGGAAATCCCATTAACGTGAGGCATCAATGAGAAGAGAGGAGAGAGAGAGAGAGAGAGAGAGAGAGAGAGAGAGCCTTCTGATTTTCCATTTCAATTGAAAATCAATCTTCAATCAGTAGCAGGTAAAGACGCAGTA